TTGGATTTGGCATAGCATCCATCTTCGTCACAAATTTTTCATTTTAAAGGCACTGTGAAGTCAAGAAAAGGCCGTTTCCTCAATGGTCCCTGCTAGCCTGCCTCTTGACTTTCCGGTTCCTTTAAAGTGCTCATTTCTGGCAGCAAGGTTTTCAAAAGGATTAATGCAAATTTTTAGTGTGTGCCGGCTTATTGTGGTCTCAGAAATGGCTGTTTTTTGCGTAAAAATATGAAAAATATCGACTTAGGCTTAAGCTTAGGCTTTGGCTTAGGCTTAGGCTTAGGCTTAGGCTTTGGCTTTGGCTTAGGCTTAGGCTAAGGCGCAGGCCTAGGTTTAGGCTTAGGCTTAGACTTAGGCTTAGCTTATACCTATCTAAATAATTCTAAAATTTAAACCCCATTAAAGACATCCCAACCGACCCCCAAGCCGAAGCGGAAAAGACGCCGTCAGGTCAAAAAAATCGATTGCTTTACCTACGAATTTTGCTGTCATGTTCCCTCGAAAAATTTAAATTAGCATCTACCCCATTTTCTCTTTTTTTTGCATGATGGTTTTTCCAAGAAAAACAACCCAAAAATCCCCAAAAATCGCTGCTAGATTGACCTCAATATTGGAAAGGAGTGCGGAATGCGGAGAGTTTGATAGAATCGATTTTGGCGTTTAGAACTGTATAAATTAACTTTAATCTGCTTTTTTAGCACCGCTCGATACGACGAGATTTGCATACGACGCCCTCGTCGAACTCGTTGGCCAAGTCGAGCACTGCGCTGCCCGCGGCTGCAGGTGAGGACCTTGGACCGAGAGTTTTGTGCGACTGGGATTGAGCTCTTATGCCTAAGCTCGAGCTTAGGCTTAGGCTTAGGTTAGGCTTAGGCTTAGGCTTAGGCTTAGGCTTAGGCTTAGGCTTAGGCTTAGGCTTAGGCTTAGGCTTAGGCTTAGGCTTCGGCTTTTCTCAATTTTTGCACAAGTGCCATAAATTACCTTTTTTGAAGGGCCCGGCTCGCGGAAGACGACGCAGCTCAGCATCGGCGGCGTGGTTGGCAAGGCGAGGTAAGTAGGCTTAGGCTTACGCTTAGTTTGTATACCAGGCGCTTCTCCTGGCTGAAGGCGTGCACCGGAAAGAGCGCTCAATCTTCCGAAGAGTCGTCTGAGGTAAGAACGATAAGCTCGGTTAATGTGAGAATTTTGTAGGCAAATGGTAGGCTAGCAGTGATCATTGAGGACGTGTGAAAATCCACTGAATTTCAGGCAGTGGCTGTCGTAGACGATCAGACGAGCGTCACCTCTTCTTTTTACCTGAAAAGAAAGGGCAGCGCCCCGCACAGTACGGTGGTTGAGGTACCGTTTCTCTCTCGTCCTCTCTCTCTCTCTCTCCCTTTCTCACTCTCTTTTTCTCTCCTTCCCTCCTGAATTTTTGGATTTTTGCACGGTTGCAAATCAAATTTCACTTCTTCAGGACAGCACCTCCCTGGGCACCGGATCGCCACGGAATGGAAGCCGATACCGTACGCGAAATCAGCAGCCAGATCGACCACAGGTAGGAAATTGTTGGAATCCGATCCACTATGATCTTTCCTCCGCTTCCTGAACAATCTCTGCTAGCCCGCCCAACCCTCTTTTCTACAGGTCGACACGTATACCGTACTCATCGAGCTGAAGGACGAGGGAACGAGGCCGAGCGTCCGGTTGTCGAGCTGCGACTCCGGCGCGTACGAGTGAGTTTTCTTTGCAATGCATCACGCTAGTTAAAATTTGAGCTGCTTATTGCATGAAAAATCTAAAAAATTTTTATAGTTGCCGAAAATAAATATATTTTTTATCGAAAAAACGTACATTTTTAAATTTTCGACTTTCCGTTTTCTATTGAATTTATTAAATTTACTAAATAAAACCGATGAAAGTATCTAGAATTCAATATTTTCCATAGGAATTTCAGCGAAATCTCGTGCACCCGGAACTCCTCACATCGGGGAAGGTCCCGCAGCGAAGTCGAGGCGACGATGTGCGAGGAGAAGAAGTTGGCCTCGATAAAAGGTACTGGGGCTCAGGGATTACTGTAGATTTTGCTGATTTTGTAAAATTTCATGATCCATACAATTTGCAATCCTTCCAGAATCCCCAGTCCCGGCCCGCAACGGCAAGTCCACGCTCAGCTCGAAGACGAAGGAGCAGGAGCAGCGGAAGAGCGAAAAGGTGATTTTTCGAATTTTCGAAGCGCCTAAGCCCCAGCCTGAGCCTAACCAGCCTAAGCTGAAGCCTAAGCCTAAGCCGAGCTTAAGCCTAAGTCAAGCTTCAGCCTATGCCGAAGCCGACGCGAAGCTCCGGCCTGAGCCTGAGCCTGAGTCTAGCTTTAACCTATGCCCTATCATTTTCAACGACGTACCGTATTCCAGGAGCGCAAGAAGAACGAGCGAAAGCAGGAGAGCAAAGCCGCCAAGACACTGTCGGCAATCTTGTTCGCCTTCATCGTCACCTGGACGCCCTATAATGGTAGAAAAATTGGGGTTCTTGTTTTTGTAGTTGTCATTTTTGCAATTTACGCAGTATTTACCGTATTTTTTACAGTAATCGTCTGCTGGGAGGCGTTCTACCCGCGGACCGTGCCGAGTATACTGTATGATGTGAGTCTTTGAGGATTGAGGGGCAGGCTAGCAGAGATTGTTGAGGAAGAGGAGAGGGCAGGCTAGCAGAGATTGTTGAGGAAGAGGAGAGGGCAAGCTAGCAGAGATTGTTGAGGAAGAGGAGAGGGCAGGCTAGCAGAGATTGTTGAGGAAGAGGAGAGGGCAGGCTAGCAGAGATTGTCGAGGAAGAGGAGAGGGCAGGCTAGCAGAGATTGTCGAGGAAGAGGAGAGGGCAGGCTAGCAGAGATTGTTGAGGAAGAGGAGAGGGCAGGCTAGCAGAGATTGTTGAGGAAGAGGAGAGGGCAGGCTAGCAGAGACCATTTTTTCTTTTCAGTTTGCATATTGCCTCTGCTACATCAACTCCACGATCAACCCATTGTGCTATGCGCTGTGTAATGCCCGTTTCCGGCACACCTATATGCGAATTTTGCGGTGCCGCTTCGGCCACGACCGCCCACAGCATATGAACCAGGCCTACGTGAGGAGGACCTAGGCTTAGGCTTGGGCTTAGGCTTGGCTTAGGCTTGGGCCTAGGCTTAGGCTTAGGCCTAGGCGTGGGTTCCTCTTCGATTTCCTACTCCCCTCCGATCGATTATCCCCCACCGGTATTATTGTACGAATTATGCAAATTTTTCCCCAAAATTATCGATTTTTTTGTGAATGCAATTTGGGTTCGCCTGGTGCTCTCTCTTTTTCGATTTCACGATATTTCCTCGCCAAAAATTTATGCAAATTGAGCTGAAATTAAATGACGAAAACACGACCAGTTGCTCAACATTTTTCTAGTCTTTTGTTTGTATTTTGTACTGTGCTTGTGCTATATTCGGTTCTTTTGCATTAACGGGGGGCACAGGGGAATGAAAAATGGCATATTTTCGACAAAAATGTCATTTTAAGGAATTTTTAAGATTTTGAGAGGGTTTTTCTACTTGAAAATGGTTAAATTTTACTAAAAACTCTCCGAAATTTCCAAACTCATCAAAAAATTACCCCCGATAATACCATAGCTCCACATGCTCTATTTTTCACTTGCGTAGCCTTACCATCAATTTTTCATATTTGAGAGGGCTGCCTTAGTTTTGAAAAAAAAACTTGGTTTTCCCGATTTTAAATTTTATGCTGTTCCCCCTTTTTGTAGTTTGATTTTTTCGTTTTCTACCGTAATTGACGGGTGCTGCCTGGACGCACAAATACATACAGTATTTTCAGTTTTTTCCTTCAATTTGTTACATTAAAATCGATAGTTATGTATTTTTTCACTTCCCAAAAACTATTTCAAAGTTACCATCGAATTTTGATGGGGATTGTCGGTGCAATTTCGCGCGATTCCCACGGCTCAATGTTTTCTCCTCCGCCAAGGCGATGCTGATAAAGATGGAAAATATGGTGTATGCTATGCAAAACTACACTACAAGCCACAGTCTACAGGCTACAAATTCCATAGGTACTTGTGCTGCAAATTACACTACAAACTACAGGATAGATGTTAAGACTACAGGCTACAAACTACAACAACCTACAAGCAAACTACAAGCTACAATCGACATGCCACATGCTTCAACTACAGACTACAATCGACAGACTACAAGCTACAGCCTAAAAACTGCAACAATACTAGTGCTAGCAACTGGAGAGTTTGTTTGTCATCAAATTTTGAAATTTCCGTAATTCGAGATAACTTAGGCTTAGGCTTAGGCTTAGGCTTAGGTCAGCTTAGGCTGAGGCTGAGGCTTAGGCTTAGGCTTAGGCTTAGGCTTAAGCTTAGGCTTAGGCTTAGGCTTGGGCTTAGGCTTAGGCTTAGGCTTAGGCTTGGCTTAGGCTTAGGCCAGGTTAGGCTTAGGCTGAGGCTTAGGCTTAGGCTTAGGCTTAGGCTTAAGCTTGGCTTAGGCTTAGGCTTAGGCTTGGGCTTAGGCTTAGGCTTAGGCTTGGGCTTAGGCTTAGGCTTCGGCTTGGGCTTAGGTTTGGCCCTGACCTTATTTTTATTATTTCCTGCTTCTCAAATTTAGGGGTTGGTGGTTCGAGTACCGAAATCATCGCCCGGCCACTCAACCCTCAGGAGAACATCAGATTTGTCGATTGAGCCGCCGAGAGGGGGGAGACATTTGTGATTTCTCTGTTTGATAAACACTCGACGAAAAAAGATGGTCAGCCCGATCCCAGGGGGGAATCAATTTAGGGGGTATTTTTGAGATGATCCCGTGGGGGGAAGACCCCTCGGGAAAGGACGCCCACGTGGAACACGAGATGGTTTTTGAGGGGCAGGCTAGCAGAGATTGTTAAGGAACAACTCCCCTAAAAGAATAAGCACTAAAATTTACATGCAAGCGTACAGAATATCTCCAAAACAAAATTCCCAATTTTTCCTTATTTCTACTCGCCATGTCCTCCTCCTCCGGCTCGCAGCAGCTGCCCCCGCCCATCCCCAACAAGCAGGGCGAGCCCGAGTTTCAGGTATTTTCAAGGGCCCTTGAACGCAAGGGCAGGCTAGCAGAGGCCATTAAAAAATTGCTTTTTCAGTTGAAGCTTTCCCACGAGTACATGATCTTTCCGGGGGCCACCCCGGGGCAGCCGAAAAATCAGCTCCCGTCCGTCGAGCTGATCATCACCAACCCGACGCAGGATAAGCATGCGATCAAGGTAAATGGTACGCCCCTACTATCCTGCCCTTCTCAGGTCAAATGCACGTCCGCCGAGCTGTTCCGCGTCCACCCGCCGATGGGTGTCGTGGCCAAGGGAGGGCAGCTGAGCATCCGCTTCTTCCTCCAGAATAAGGGCCGACCCCCGTCGTCCCAGATGCACTACTTTGCCATCTACCATACTCGCTGTGACGCGGCTACTACTGATACACAGGTGAATACACAGAGATCTCTGCTAGCCTGCCCCCTCCTCTTCCTCAACAATCTCTGCTAGCCTGCCCTCTCCTCTTCCTCAACAATCTCTGCTAGCCTGCCCCCTCCTCTTCCTCAACAATCTCTGCTAGCCTGCCCTCTCCTCTTCCTCAACAATCTCTGCTAGCCTGCCCCCTCCTCTTCCTAACAATCTCTGAGCCTGCCCTCTCCTCTTCCTCAACAATCTCTGCTAGCCTGCCCTCTCCTCTTCCTCAACAATCTCTGCTAGCCTGCCCTCTCCTCTTCCTAACAATCTCTGTAGCCTGCCCCTCCTCTTCCTCAACAATCTCTGCTAGCCTGCCCTCTCCTCTTCCTCAACAATCTCTGCTAGCCTGGCATCTCCTCTTCCACAACAATATCTGCTAGCATGCCACCCCTAATTTACCTATTTTCAGTCTCGATACCTCTGGAAGGGCCCCCTCCGCTTCGACGGTCTGAAGAGACTTCCGGTCGTCTTCCCCTCGTCCGCCACCTGAAGCCCCGCCCCTTCTCACCTACAGACTAACTTAATCACCCTGTTAAAGCCTAATTTCGTGTCGCTCAAGTATTTACGGTCATCGTCGAGAATAAAGAACTTTTTTGGAAGTGCGATGCGAGAGAGCGAGAGAGTGAGCCATTCCTCAAGGAATCTCTGCTAGCCCCACGTGATCCCCTTGAAAATCTCCGGCTGATCATCGGCAAATATCCGGGTGCCTGATCACTCATAAGCGGGGGTGGCTGGCCCTTGAGAGATGGGACAACACTTGACTCCAATAGACAGACACCCTGGTCTCCAAACTGTTTTTCGCGTTCATTGTCCGAAAAAAGGGCGATTCCTCAACGATCTCTGCTAGCCTGCTTGAGCATTGGCTTAGGTTTAGGCTTAGTATTAGACTTATTAGGCTTAGTCTTATGCTTAGGCTTGGGTTACTGTAAGCTGGGGTGGCGGTCTGGCGATCCCCCCCCCCCCCGCTAACAGTCCAGAACCGTGGTCAGCGCCGCCTCCAAACCTCAATAATTCCTCAAAAGTCTCTTCTAGCCTGCCCCAAGGTGAGTCATCACCTTTTCCGGGGCTTGACTATTTACACAAAGGCAAACAGTGGATAGCCCCAGCACAACGCTTGCATTTGACAGCTCCCCCCAAAGCGAAGCGCGTGATTTCGGACAATTTTGGGGCTGATCTGTGCGTGGGCAGGCTAGCAGAGATTCTTGTGGAACTTGAAAATCTTCTACGACCCGGAAGGCCCAGACCCAGGAAGAACAGTGAGGAAGCTTCGCCTGTCCGATCATTTATTCCTCAACGATCCCCGCTAGCCTGCTCCCCGGCTCCCACCCTCGCACTTCAAACAAACAAGCGGATCTCGCGAAAAACAGTGGCCCTGTAGAAGCCGGGCCCCAAAACAAGCCTGAAACCACGACAACACTCGAGAATTCGAAAGGGAAAGTGAAAGTGCTGAAGATAATTCTTGTCGGATAGGGCGGATTAGCAGAGATTGTTAAGGAAGAGGAGAGGTCAGGCTAGCAGAGATTGTTGAGGACGAGGAGAGGCAGGCTAGCAGAGACTGTTGAGGAAGAGGAGAGGGCAGGCTAGCAGAGATCTTTACTTTCTTACGCTATTTTCAGTTTATTTTTATCATCGGAAAGTACACTCAAAACCGACCCCCCATGTTACAGTAATGTTATCCGGGGCCGCCGGGCTGTTTGTTGAGCGGTTTCCTCATCAAAATCATCCACAAATATCTGGGAAGCGAGAGCGAGAGGGAGAGAAAGAGAGAGAGAGAGAGAGAGAGAGAGTGGAGAAGAAACTGCTGTCCACCCACCCGAATTCCGGGCCAAGGGTCCGCCCCCAGCCTCGGAATAAAAGCGTCGTCCGGGGAGCTGGGCCCAAAATTTCGGGGCGGGCTAGCAGAGATTCTTTTAGAAACTCGCTATCCCGGCTTGTTCTATTTCAGCCTACTTCCGAGCTTGATCATTTGCATGTTTTTTCCCCAAAGTAGCCTCGTCTCCCTCTCTCTCCTTTCTCTCACTCTCTCTCCCTCTCGCTCTTCCGCGCATCTTCTATATTTTGAAATTTCAGACTTCACAGCCCTTTAAAATGAGCCAACAGCCCGAGGAAACCCAACAGACGGCCCGTGCCTACGGTGTCTACGTTGACGAGAACCAGAAAATTCACTACGTTAACTGCGCTCCGTCAAAGGTGAGAATAGGCTTAAAAATTAAAAACTCCGGGGGGGGGGGGGGGGGGCGGGGGGGGGGGGCAGGGCGCCCCCGGGGGGAAGAAGGAATATTAAAGGTTAGGCTGAGGCTTCGGCTTAAGCTTAGCCTCGGGCTTAGGCTTAGGCTTACCTTTCGAATTTTATTTCCACATCAGTTAAAGCACCACTAAAAGTACCAATAAACTTTTTAGCGACGATCGCGTGCCGCCAAAAAATCGGCCGGCCACCCCGCCTCCAGCCCCAGCTTCTTCACGAGGTTGCTGAACAAATTGCGGCACTAATGGCAGGACGCCCGTCCTGCTAATTCTGTTCAAGCTGCCCACTCCACCTTTTTGAAGACGTCCAAACCCGAAAAAGCCTGAAAAACTCCCAAAACGTCCCCGCTGTACATTTGATCCCCCCGGTACTACGCTACGATACTCATTCCACCTCGCAGTTTCCTTTTCTCCCGTCTCCGCATTTGCGCAATTTCGGTTGATATTGTCATTTTTGGTGTTTTTTAAAACTGCCGAATTTTTTAAGCGATTTTTTTGATGATTTTGGATAGTATGCAATAAACTTTGCAAGTTTCGGGGCTGGAGCTGCTGGAGGGTTTGCAAAAATTGTTACAAGAGAACCGCGGCTTAGGCTTAGGCTTCGATTTAGACTTAGGCTTGGGCTTAGGCTTAGGCTTAGGCTTAGGCTTAGGCTTAGGATTAGGCTTAGGCTTAGGCTTAGGCTTAGGCTTCGACTTAGGCTTAGGCTTAGGCTTAGGCTTAGGATTAGGCTTAGGCTTAGGCTTAGGCTTAGGATTAGGCTTAGGCTTAGGCTTAGGCTTAGGCTTAGGATTAGGCTTAGGCTTAGGCTTAGGCTTAGGCTTCGACTTAGGCTTAGGCTTAGGCTCAAGCATAAGCTTAGGCTTAGACTTAAGAGCTCTATTGCAAGTTTTCGGTTTTCTACAAGGCAGGCTAGCAGAGACCCTTTGAGGGATATTTGCTCTCGATTTCGGCCCGGGGGGGGGGCGAGAAAGTGGTTTCCTACAAGGTCGGGGGGATGGGGTGGTGTTGGCCAGGGTAATTACCTGGGACCTACTTTCTCGAGTTGGGGCGAGAGAGAGACAGAGAGAGAGAGAGAGAGAGAGAGGGGGGAGACCACTGACCTTACGCCGACCATACTCCCGGCTGGTTACAAGACAGGCGTATGAATGGGATGATCTACTTTCCATTTTCTTGTTCTCTTTCTCTCTCTCTCTCTCTCTCTCTCGCTCGCTCTCTCTCTCTCGCCGAAATGACCGCCGGAAACCACTTTTACTCTTGTCCATCCGCTCCAGGCTAGCCTCAAACCAGTAAGCCTGAGGGTATAATTTTCTTGTAACTTTGCTTCCAGGATCCAAGATATTGATTTTTATGTATTAAATGCATAGTTTAATGCTTTGTTATTCATATTTTTAATAGTAAAATTCTACCTTCATTCCCTTGCTTTTAGCAATTCAGCGTTCGTGATGAGCGCAGCATGAATTGGGCCGTCCAGCTGTTCCTCTTCCAGATGACGTTTTTTGGTGATTTTTTCCGGATTTAAATTGTCACTTGCAAAACAGGGGAGCGTGGCACTGACATTTGAGGAATTCAGGCAAGCTAGCAGTGGTTTTTTAGGAAATTTGGGGCAGGTTAGCTGGGTTTCTTTGGGAAAATCTAAAAATCATAAAAATTTCCTTTTCAAATTTGGGCCGAAAATAAGTTTTAAGCATCTAAAATATGTAAAAATGCCTACAAAAATAAATAGCTTGAATTTACGTAGATTTTTGAGCAAAAAAAATGAGTGAAATTTTATTAAAAAGTGAAAAACAAGGCCGTTTCATCCCATTTTTCGCTTCAAAATTGAAATTGTAATTTATAGTATTTTTGTGACTTTTACAAAAAAATTGAAACATCGAAAAATTGCTGAAATCCTGAGAATAAAATACGAGCAGACCATACAAAGCTATTTTCGTCTTGTTGGGCGTTTATCACGGTAATAATTCGCGAAAAAGTTATAGATTCAATTCGAAATTTTTTTAAAGTGGAATTTATTGCATTTTATTCAAACAAAATCACTCGCTTCGGGGCTTTTTCGGTGTCGCCGCACGCGGTCTGCCGGCCCCAAGACCCCGCCCCGTCACCCCGCCCTGCTCGCCTCTGTGGCCTATCGGTTAGCACCCCCGCACCGCGTGCCAGGGGTCCCAGGTTCGACCCCCCGCCGCGACTCCAAGACACAAATTCCAGCCGGCTCGCCCGTGTGCCCGGCTGAGCCGAAGTCTTGGAAGAGTGTAGCGAATTTCGATCGTGACCCGGGTACGATACCCGGTTCGCTTTGCACAATTCCCACATTTTGGACTTTTTTGGCGGACGCTATATCGGGGCAGGCTAGCAGAGATTGTGGAGAAAAAGGAGAGGGGAGGCTAGGAGATTTTTGCGCAATTTTGGGAACAACTTTTCCTTTCAGAACCAACCGGCGGCTGCTTCTCCTCGTCCGGGAGCTCCTTTTACGGCTACGGTGGTTTGTTTTTATGCATAAGTTACGGAAATAACTATTCTTTTTATTTCATTTCAGCTGGTACTTTAACATAAAAAAAATATAAGCTCAGAAAATTTCAGGGCAATCAGCGGCGGCGGCAGCCGCCGATGACCCGCACGGCGGTACGGGAGACACGATGGAAACGGGTAGGGTAAAAATGTCATGGCTAACAACCGTTTTTTCTTCAGCGTTCGCCGACGATCCTCGAGCGCGAGTTAAGGCGCGCGGGATTTCCTCAGAAGAATTTGAGCAGCGAAAAGCCCAATGCCAACGGGCCGAATTCCGGGACTATACGGCGCAGGGTTAGTTTTTCCAGAATCCTGCCCGCTCCTCTTCCTCATCAATCTCTGCTAGCCTGCCCTCTCCTCTTCCTCAACAATCTCTGCTAGCCTGCCCTCTCCTCTTCCTCAACAATCTCTGCTAGCCTGCCCTCTCCTCTTCCTCAACAATCTCTGCTCGCCTGCCCTCTCCTCTTCCTCAACAATCTCTGCTAGCCTGCCCTCTCCTCTTCCTCAACAATCTCTGCTAGCCTGCCCTCTCCTCTTCCTCAACAATCTCTGCTAGCCTGCCCTCTCCTCTTCCTCAACAATCTCTGCTCATTTTAGAAATGCGGCATGAAGCTACTCTCAAACAACTCCAAGCTGTGGATATCACCGTGGCCGACGGGGCTAGGATTTCGTGCGGCTTCGATGAAGATCGAGAATATTGTGGATGGTACAACACCGGACCTGTTTTGTGAGTTTTAGGAACAGAGAGGGAGAGAGAGAGAGAGAGTGAGAGAGAGAGAGAGAGAGAGAGAGGAAGAGAGAGAGAAATCGTCGCCTTTTCAGCTTCTCCAAAGCCCGCTACGACGGCTACTTCGATATGGAGCGCTTCGATTGTACGAGTCCGCGAGGCTTCGCTTTCCGTAAACCCAATAGAATTGAATTAAAGCCTGCTTCCGATTTAGAAGATTATTTTCTGCTGGCTGGCGGAGAGGCAATATTCTCGGAAGATCGCGCGGCCATCCAAGTGGATATCCCCTGTCAGCTCGGGACTGCTGAATTGAGATTTGAGTATGTTCTTGTTCGACTGTTTCTCACTCTCTCTCTCTCTCTCTCTCTCTCTCTCTAATTCCCGAACTTTGGTTTATAATCTAGAAATTTTAGCTTCTGGACGAACAGCTACAACGTGACGGTGAAGGTTTGCCAAGAACTGACCGGGCAACAGCCGATTTGCGATGTAAGCAGGGGCAAACCAGCAGAGATTGTTGAGGAAGAGAGAGCAGGCTAGCAGAGATCGTTTAGGAATCCAGCTCCAAGTCAATTTTAGTACATGGTGTCCCCGGAAAACCCGCTGAACGTTACGATACCGGGCTCCGGTGAGCCATTCCGGTTATACATCGAGAGCCGGGGCCTTTCCGAAGAGGCCATTATTCTCATAGATAACATCCGCTATGACGGACAGCTGTGCGAAGTGGTAGGTGTTAGGCTTAGGCTTAGGCTTATGCAAATTTTTAGACGGACGACGATCATCCGGCCGGCTCCCCATCGACTCGCCCCAGCCCATCGCATACGGACTATGAGATCGGGCCGAATTCGAGCGAGCTTGGGGATGAAGCGGTAGGTCGAGAGAGAGAAAGAGCGAGAGAGAGAGACAGCGATGTAGAGAGAGCGAGAGAGAGAGACAGAGAGAAAGATTCATTTCAGCCTCAACTCAGCGACGAGGGCCTGCCATCAATTTCCTCAAATATCCACCCCATCGGTACACAAAAGAACTTTGTAAGTCATCGAATACGGCAAGTAATCCTTTTTTCCAGGACGCTCCAAACAACGGCGGCGCGAAGCCGTTCTCCTTGTCGATAACGCCGAGTAAACAGCCTGGGTAAGTCTCTGCGGCCCAGGCCCGGGCCAGTCTGACCTCAGAGATTCGAAAGAGAGCTCGGCTAAAATATCAGGGTCCTAACCTTCAACGGTCCTTGAAACTGAGTTATTCGACAAGTTTTAGGTCATCAACAAGAGCTTCTATCGATTCGGACACTACGGGCCCTCGAACAGGTATGAGAATTAGGCTTAGGCCTAGGCTTAGCTTAGGCTTAGGCTTAGGCTTAGGCTTAGCTTAGGCCTAGGCATAGGTTTAGGCTGCGACTTAGGCTTCGGCTTAGGCTCTGGCTCCGGAACATTTCACTTTCAGAAGCACCATTAACCGACGTGGCCGACTACGTGATCGGGCAGCACGACGTGGATTTGTTAAACCAGGCAAGAAATATCATTTTCCGCCCGAGCCTACCTTAATTTAAGGAATCCACAACGCAGAACGGCGCCGATTTTGACTTCCAGCCACAGCCGAGGACTAAAACTTTCCAGGAGCAGGACGGGTGAGATTTTTTAGCCACAATGATCTCTGCTAGCCTGCCCTCTCCACTTCCTCAACAATCTCTGCTAGCCTGCCCTCTCCTCTTCCTCAACAATCTCTGCTAGCCTGCCCTCTCCTCTTCCTCAACAATCTCTGCTAGCCTGCCCTCTCCTCTTCCTCAACAATATCTGCTAGCCTGCCCTCTCCTCTTCCTCAACAATATCTGCTAGCCTGCCCTCACCTCTTCCTCAACAATATCTGCTAGCCTGCCCTCTCCTCTTCCTCAACAATCTCTGCTAGCCTGCCCTCTCCCTCTTCCTCAACAATCTCTTGCCTGCCCTCTCCTCTTCCTCAACAATCTCTGTAGCCTGCCCTCTCCTCTTCCTCAACAATCTCTGCCTGCCCTCTCCTCTTCCTCAACAATCTCTGTGCCTGCCCTCTCCTCTTCCTCAACAATTCTGCTAGCCTGCCCTCTCCTCTTCCTCAACAATCTCTGCTAGCCTGCCCCCTCCTCGTCCTCAACAATATCTGCTAGCCTGCCATCCAATAAAGAATTTTTAGAAACACTGCGACAACCGCTAAATCCGATGCCTCCGTGGATTTCGAGGTGCTAGAGCCCGGCGAGGTAGGCACATTAATGGTCTTTAGCAAAATTGTATCCTCTTCAGGCTCCTATATTCACGAGCAGCACGGTTTCGGAGAAAGGTGCGAGAAAGAGAAAGCTACGCTGAAGTTAATGGATTTTCAGACACGAAAACGTATCCGATTTGTCGCGCCCTACCCTGCAATTTCAATGATGGGGCTGGGTGTCACTACAGCATGACCGGGATCGGGAGCACGTAAGTGGGCGAGCTAGCAGAGATTGTTGAGGAAGAGGAGAGGGCAGGCTAGCAGAGATTATTCAGGAAATCCGATGTTCAGGTCGCGGTGGCAGATCGGCCAAAAGTTCATCGGAAATAAATTGACAGGTGTACACGTTGACGATTTCAACGAAATGGCCAATGAGCGGGAAGGTACGGTAGAAAGAGCAAAAAGTACAAAAGCACAAAAACCAGGAAAATGCAAACTTATTTAGCCGGATACGCCTTTGTCGGCAGCGACTACGAGGGGCTTCAAGATGAGGTGAGAGCGAGAGAGTGAGAGAAAGAGAAACAGGGACAGCGCGAGCCAACGTCCCTTTAGGTGTTCGTCATGGAGTCGCCGCGATTTGCGCATCGCGAGAACAGCTACTTGGTTTTCGACCTGTTCCTTCGGTCATTTGGGCCTCAACTAAGGGTCAGTATTCCCAAATTGCCTCTGCTAGCTTGCGAGGTCACCCTTATGCTTCTCAAATGATCTCTGCTAGTTCGCCCGGCTGCTAGAGGTTTCCTCAATCGTCTCTGCAAGCTGGCCGGGCTCCCTTCCTGCATCCAAAATAGTCTCTGCTAGCTCGCCAGGCGTTAGAAGTTTCCTAAATTGTCTCTGCTAACCTACCGCCAATTTCCGCCAATATTCTCTGCTAGCCTGCCCCTCGCTTAAGGTATGTATCGACTCGTTCGACTACTGCCCCTACTCCAACCCGGCCGTCAACAAGACCAAGTATTGGTTCGTCGACCAGCGGGTCTTTTTGCCGCCCGGCATGAAGAAGGTCGGGCGTTTTTCACTTTATTTAATTCGTATTTTCGAAATTTAGAAACATAAATAGAGAAATAGTTCTTATACTATTTCGAAATTTACTTAACTAAATAACGTTATTTTCCTAGGTCTATTTCATTGCCGGCAAAGTGAAACGGCACCATTTCCTGGCCATCGACAACATCCGGCTCCAGAAGGAATCCGGCGGCGATCCGTGCGCTAATAACGACCCTACGCGACTGTACGACAGCTTCTTGCGGAAATTGTTGAAAATCTAAGGATGTAAATCGACAGATTTTTTCAAACACTTTTTTAAACGTATTTTTGTGCATTTTACTTACAAAACTTCTAATTCTCATTTACTTCTAAGTATTCCAATCCATTCTTTTTCCTATTTAATGCTCTTAAATTTCTAATTGTATTTTGAATTTTATCAATTCCACAGTATACAAATTATTTGTATTTTTTGCACATTCCAAACGCATTTTGATCTCTCCCGCACCTCAAATATATTATTTTTGCTTGGGCTTGGGCTGGGGCTCAGGCTTGGACCTAACCTTTATATGTTAATCTATACGTAATTCTTATTTTTGCGTTATTGTGAATTTCTTAACGATTTTTTGCTATTTCTGAGCTTTTCTGCTATTCCGGTGAATAAATATTTACAAGCAAGTTCTAACGTTTAATTTTTTCGTTTCTCGCTCTCTCTCTCTCTCCCTCGCTATCTCTCTCTCTCTCTCTCTCTCTCTCTCTTCGTCTTCGCTCACATAGACAATCTGACTAGCTTGCTAATTCGAAAAACCTCTGCTAGCCTACCCCACTGAAAAAACTTCCTCAATCATCGCTGCCAGCTCCCCAGGCTCCGAAAAACATGGCAAATGATCTCTGCCAGCTTGCCACTATCGAAAAACTTCCAAAATGATCTCTGCTAGTCAGCTATTTATCGTAAAACTGCTCAAATGATCTCTGCTAGCCTCCCTCTCGCACCAACGTCCAGCACCAGGTGTCCATTTGTACTCGTCAGGGTTTCTCTCTCTTGCCCTCTCTCGCCCTCTCTCGCTCTCTCGCTCTCTCTCCCTCGGTTTCCGATTCCGAGCGGCTACTCGAGTCACCCCGAAAAAAGTGGAAAAATTTCCTCCAGTTGTTTGGGGACGAGCCTAGGCAAAATAGAGCACTAGGGGACCGAAACATACTGCCCCAGCCCCGCCCTGGGGATTTCTATTTATTTTCTGGCCACTGGGAGGGTAGAGAGCGCCAGAGAGAGCGAGAGAGAGATAGAGAGAGAGAGAGAGAGAGAGAGAGAGAGACGGAAAAATAAGAGGCCAACAATTCGGAAACTTGGAAGAAGAGAAAATAAACTGAAAAATATCCGGTATAAAAGCCCGGCCAGCAATTTTGAGATGCTCCCTGGTTGGTCCCCTTAATTACTCCACCTTTTTTGAGCACATCTACAAGATGAATCAGCTGGCCATGCTGCTGTTAGCAGGTTTGGATTTTTTTAGTGCCATTATTACACGTTAGTGCCATTAATTAAAGGCATTTTCTTTCGCCTCTCTCCCGCGCGCTTTCTCTCTCCCTCTCGCTCTTGCTCTCTCTCTCTCTCTCTCTCTCTCTCTCTAGCTCTCTCTCACCGCCAAAACTTTATCTAGGATTAATACGACATCAAAAAAATTTTGGGAAGGAAAAATTTCAGTACTTTCCGTCGCAGCGGCCCAAAACACGTATGGCTACCGCCCGAATACCGCCACGCCTCCCACCGCTCAGGCTTATACAGGTAAATATTCTGCTTAGGCTGAGGTTAGACTTAGGCCTAGGCTTAGGCTTGGGCTCAGGTTAGGCTTAAGTTATTACTTATGATTGGGCTTAGGTTTAGGCTTAGACTTTGGCTTACTGTTTGCTTAGGCTTGAGTTAGGATTCGTCTTGGGCTTAGGCTCAGGTTTCGGCTTAAACTTAGATTTAGGATTAGGCTCAGACAGACGCTTGGGCTTGGGCTTGGGCTTAGGCTTAGGCTTACTGTAAAGTGTTTTTACTCAAGTTGGAGTTTCGATTCGGGACCAAGTGCATCTTATGCAGAATTTTTCGCTGATTCCGAATCCGCTTTCCAAATTTGCTGCGGAATTTTATTTTGAAAGTTATACGGCAATTATGGTAGTGTTTTTCACCAAACTCAAGGAACCGTTATCGCTTTCGAATGTCTTGGTCAATTTCAACTTCAAAATTGGCTAGAGATTGGCTAGACAAGCATCTTAAAAGTCAAAACAAGCTTTTTTTATAAAAAATTAAATTTTTTATGCAAAAAGCAAAAGAGAGGCGGAGGGCGGGGATCCGAACCTCCGCCCTGAGCTTGGCAAGCGAGTACTTTGCCAATGCACCATGGAGCCAACCGGAAGGGCGGCTGTGACAGAGTACTTCAGGGCCCCTGGGAGAGGCCGAACCATGGAGGGAATAGTGGACCAGGATCCGAATTTTTGGCTTTTTCAAGCTTAATTTGCACGAAAAATGACTTTTTAAATAAAAGTCCGCAGCAAATTTGGAAAACGGATTCGGCATCAGCAAAAAATTCTGCACAAGATGCGCTTGGTCCCGAATTGAAACTCCAACTTGAGTAAAAACACTTTACAGTTAGACATAAGTCTAAGCTTAGGTTAGGCTTAGATTTAGGCTTGGGCTTTGCTTAGGCTTCGCAGGCTTAGGCCTAGGTTAGACTTGCGCTTGGCATAGGTTCGGCTGGCTTAGGCTTATAATTACGCTTCGGCTTAATATCCGGTTATCCTTTCCAGGCGCCCCGTTCGACTACCGTACCACCATGAACCCGACGCTGGACGCCGAGAAGGCGGCTGGCATCGTGCCGGCCTCCAAAAACGCGTCCCGCGCGTCTCGAGCCATTAGTACGCCGATGCACCAGTACGCCACGTCGACGTACTCCCCGTACAGGTTCGGAGTTTCGGGTTAAAATGCCGTTTCCGGGGATTTAAGGGCCCTTGAAGGTCTAGTCTTAGCTTTGCCTCAAATGGTCTTTAAGCACCAGTAGACATGATAGTTTTCTTGATCTTAAAGGGCCATTGAAGCCCAGTCATGCGAATCGCTCCTATGAAATTTTTCAGCCAAAACCAATACCAGCAAAACGGGTACAACAACCAGGGCTACGGCGGCAGCAACATGTACAGGTCGGTCGAAAAAGTCAATATTTTTCAAAAAATTGTAAATACAGTAAAAAATTTGATTTTGCCTTTCCCTTATTGCGCAATAAAGAACAAATTTCAGTCAAAACCAGCAGTACCCACAGGCTGGCTACGGTAATCAGGGCTACGGCAGTGGCAACATGTACAGGGTGGTATAACATACCATACAACAAAACTCGATTTCTGTCGGCGTAGGCTTAGGCTTAGACTTAGGCTTCGCATAGGCCTAGGCTTAGGCTTAGGCGTAGGCTTCGGCTTGGGCTTATGCTTAGGCTTTGACTGTTGTTCATTTCTTAATCTGAAAAAATAGTCTTGTTGTTTTTCCAGCTCCTCGAACCAGTATCCCTACACCAACCAGCAGCTATCGTACAACGGCCAGTATCAGGTGATTTTTTGAAAAAAACGCCACTTCATTTGATTAGGTTAATTTTTGTAAGGTAAATTTTAGCATGATTCAACAGCGTTTTTATGTCTTATTTACAGTCCTCTACCCCATCGACGCAATACCTGCTTCGGGATCAGAACTGGAACTACAACTACAACCCGAATTCTCAGTACAACGGCTACAGTAACGGGTATAATGGACAGGTGCGTAGTTTCTTCATCAATCTCTGCTAGCCTGCCCTCTTCTTCCTCAACAATCTCTGCTAGCCTGCCCTCTCCTCTTCCTTAACAATCTCTGCTAGCCTGCCCTCTCCTCTTCTTCAACAATCTCTGCTAGCCTGCCCTCTCCTCTTCCTCAACAATCTCTGCTAGCCTGCCCTCTCCTCTTCCTCAACAATCTCTGCTAGCCTGCCCTCTCCCTCTTCCTCAACAATCTCTGCTAGCCTGCCCTCTCCTCTTCTTCAACAATCTCTGCTAGCCTGCCCTCTCCTCTTCCTCAACAATCTCTGCTAGCCTGCCCTCTCCTCTTCCTCAACAATCTCTGCTAGCCTGCCCTCTCCTCTTCCTCAACAATCTCTGCTAGCCTGCCCTCTCCTCTTCCTCAACAATCTCTGCTAGCCTGCCCTCTCCTCTTCCTCAACAATCTCTGCTAGCATGCCCTCTCCTCTTCCTCAACAATCTCTGCTAGATTGCCTAAGTTAAATTCCGTTTTTAGGCTCTCTACAACCCCCTGACCAACCAGTATAGCAGCCCGAATTCGATGCAGTCCCAAAACGGATACCAGACCAACTGGAACACAAACTACAATGGCAATCAGCGATATCCCAATACCTTCAGGTATGTTTAGGCCAATAACTAGCTTAGGCTCCAGTTTAGGCTTAGGCTTAGGCTTTCATTAAATCTTATTAATCGTCGAACCCTGACTTTCCGGTGCCTTAAAATTCGATCCAGCATGCAAAGTATCGATTTATCCCTTCCAGATTCCGACGAGCCCTCAGGGCCAAGCGGCAAAGCTCCGCTCAGAATTCCGGCTTCAGCGCCTCGTCCTCCACCACCGCGTAAGCCCGAGATGCGCCATGGCTTCTCTGGCTTTCTGCACTTTTCTACTTGAATTTTTTCTCTTTTCCTACCCCGCACACTATAAAAACCCTAACCTATTCACCGTATTTTTATTTGCATGTTTTTTTGAGCATTGTCGCTAACCAACTCCTCAGGGCTGTGATCTGTGAGCACTCCGGTACCAATAAATGTAGAAATCAAAAAAATATGCGTTCCAAACCTACAGTAACCCGCTGTACGGGTCGACGCAGCAGTACGGGGCGACGACAAACTACAACAATCGACAGTACGATCAGCGGGGAGGGAACGCGAACCCGGAAAGCTTGATTCAGGTAGGCAAGTTAGCAGAGGTTGTTGAGGAAGAGGAGAGGGCGGGGTAGCAGCAAGAGAGAGCGAGAGAGAGGGCGAGAGAGCGAGAGAAGGGGAGAGAACGAGAGAGATAAGGTTATAGAGAGTGAGATAGAGATAACGAGAGATAGGTAGAGAAAGAGCGCGAGAGCGAGAGAGCGATGGAGAGAGAGATGGAGAGAGAGAGAGTGTGAGAGAGAGTGTGAGAGAAAGATAGGGAGTGAGATGGAAAAAGAGCAAATATATCTCATTTCAGAATCCCAACTACGCCTACCTTCCCCAGAATCTGGAGAACCAGTACTTGGCCAGCTACGGCAGGATGTACGACCCTTCCGGTGCGTACAGGCTCTTAGTGGCGATTTTGGGCACTTTTTAGGAAACAGCAACTTTATGACGCCTGCCACCGAGGCGCCGATACTTTCGAATGACGCGCAGAACCAGCAGAATTACCAGAAAATTCAGCAGGTTGGCTAGAAGGAAAGAGAGAGAGCGAGAGAGAGAGATAGAGAAAGAGCGAGAGAGAGAGAGAGAGAGAGAGAGAGAGAGAGAGAGAGCGACAGAGAGGCAAATGAGACAGAGAATTTTCAGGACAACGTCGGCGGCACCGACAAGTACCAGGTGGACCCGTCGCAGGTGACGAACAACATCTACGGCTACGACTACAGCAGCTCGAGCAATCGCCAGGGCCGGAAGTGATCGATTCAGCGATTTTCCAACGATCTCAACCCCCCGATTCACTCCTTAGCCACGTAAAATTTTTCACAATTTTTTTAACCTTGTTTTTAAATGTGTCAGCTTGTAAATAAAGTGCTTCAATTTCACGGAAAAGTCGGGTTAACCAGCAGGGTTTCTTTGCGGAATGAAACAGACGACGGGCAAGCTAGCAGAGTTTAGTGGCGGAATCTTAGCCTAGCCATATGGAAGCCAAGTCTCAGCCCAAGCCTAAGCCTACGTCTAAGCCTAAGCCTAAGCATAACCTAAGCCTAAGCCTAGGCCTGAGCCTAAGTCAAGCCAAGCCTAAGCCTAAGCCCGAGGCCGATAAGAATAACGAAAAATTCCTAAATGACCTCTGTTGACTTGCCCATGTTTCTGTGGCGTCCCAAATATTCTCTGCTAGCCTGCCCACGACGTTCTAGCATTCCTCTAACCCGCCGACAGTCCCAAGAGCCACGTTTTGCCCACTTGAACTCTTCATTTCTCTGCAGGCTCTCCCTCTTCCCACTCTCCCACCCGACTGTCCCAGACAGCCGGGGCCCCGCCCGCTTGGCGCGCATGTGACGCCTTTCCGCGTCCGGTTCCGCGAGCCTGCCAATTTTTTTGTGCTCTCACTCTCTCACTCTCTCTCACTCTCTCTCTCTCATTATCTCTCTCACTCTCTCCCTCTCTCCCTCTCTCGCCACTCCGCCCTGCTTGCCCAGCTTTTTTGGGGCGCAGAAGAACCTGAATCACTCCCTCACCTTACTGCTTCGAACATGGCCACCGGGATTTTGTGAGTTCTTCGCGTTTTTGCAGGTTTTTAATGTCCCTTTAACCGCGAATTTTAACCTATTACGGCACTTAATTCGAAAGCATTTTTTCGAGACCAATCTGCATTTTTCTCATCATTTATGTAGTTCCTGGAGCCTTTTAAAGGCACGGGCAAGGCAAAAATAGGAACTTTGTTCTATAGGGTAGAATCGCTACTTTTATAAAACGGTTGTAGTAAAAAAAATTTTACTCAAAATTTCAGGACCCAAACGCTCGGCTTTTTCCTCCTCTTTGCGGCCGCATTTGCATCAATGGTCCCCACACCGGTAAGCGAATTTTTTTGTCGAAGAGGGCAAGCTAGCTGAGGTTTTTTTGTGGAATTTGACCGCCCGGATTTTTGGGCAATTCCCAAGGGGGCCAGCTAGCAGCTTTGCGCTGTCGTGCCGTCATACTGGCAAATAGCGGTTCTGGTTCGTTTACGGGGGGGGGGGGGCTAGCAGGGATTCTTTGCGGACAACCCCGAATTCCTTCGAATTTTCGATTTTCCAGTGGATCAGCTTCGCCTACGCCACAACGAAAAAAATCGTTCCTGATGATGGCCGTGCCGGAGGAAGGCGATTTTTGCTATCAGGCGGAACGGTAGGCTTTGATAAACTAACAAAATTTAAAAAAAAATTACTTTATTGAGCTGAACTGTACTAATAATTAATCCCAGGCCAACATTCGACAACGCGACGATCCGGAATGCTTTCTAAGAATATTTGCGAGACGGGAGTATCGATGAAATATTTGAATATTTGCAAATAAAAATATATAAATAAAAAATTGGTATATTTTTATGGCCAGATACAACAAATACTCCACGTTAAAAACTGCAAAACATGAAAGCCATCAAATTACCGCAAACTAGAAAGCAATCAAGTGCTTTAAGAAACAAAGATGCGCCGTTCCAAGCACGCTCAATATATAAAATTCATTAAAAACTACAAAAAGCAGGCCTCAGCGATGGGTTGTCACCACTGGCAGTCAGCGATATGTTTATGTTAGAAATCATCGGCCGAGGCGGGGGGTCGAGCCCTGTTTAGTGTTGGGCAATTTGCCCGGTCCGGTTTTCGGGCCGCCCGAAATTCGGGTATACCCGGTTTTCGGGCCGCCCGAAAACCGGGCCGAGCCTCTCGGCCCGAAAACCGGGCCGCCCGAAATTCGGGCCGACCCCCTCGGCCCGAAAACCGGGCCGCCCGAAATTCGGGCCGTCCCCCTCGGCCCGAAAACCGGGCCGCCCGAAAACCGGGCCGACCTTCTCGGCCCGAAAACCGGGCCGCCCGAATTTCGGGCCGACCTTCTCGGCCCGAAAACCGGGCCGCCCGAATTTCGGGCCGAGGCTCGCGGCCCGAAAACCGGGTCAACCCGGTTTTACTATGCAAGTTAAAATGAACATCATTTTCGAGCAGTTCGCACAACTCGGCGCCAAACCGCTCGCAACTCATTTGGGGGTCGTTTGGTAGCATTCCTTCGAGGTTGTTGAACACGGCGGACGATTTCGAGACGTTTTTTTCTAAGCGCGCTAGCAGGCTGGGCAAAGCTGGTAAAGAGCTGAAACTCGTTGGGCAGATAGAACTTTTCGCGCTCTTTCGACTGATGTCCTTCTCGATCCAGGAGTCCCAGTGCCGATCGAGATATGATGGTTTTAGTGCGGCGACAACTTCGACAGGTACACCTTTCGGCACTAAAACGCTCCCCTCTCTGTCCCCCGACGGTGTTGGAGAACGGCAAGTATACCGTTGGAAAGAGCGTTCAAAATGCTACCTTCTCAACGGCTTGAAGCAATTCTATCAAGCTTCTTTACGCTGCTAGAGCGGTTAGAAAAAAAAGTCTCGAAATCGTCCGCCGTGTTCAACAACCTCAAAGGAATGCTACCAAACGACCCCCAAATGAGTTGCGAGCGGTTTGGCGCCGAGTTGTGCGAACCGCTCGAAAATGATGTTCATTTTAACTTGCATAGTAAAACCGGGTTGACCCGGTTTTCGGGCCGCGAGCGTCGGCCCGAAATTCGGGCGGCCCGGTTTTCGGGCCGAGAAGGTCGGCCCGGTTTTCGGGCGGCCCGGTTTTCGGGCCGAGGGGGACGGCCCGAATTTCGGGCGGCCCGGTTTTCGGGCCGAAGGGGACGGCCCGAATTTCGGGCGGCCCGGTTTTCGGGCCGAGGGGGTCGGCCCGAATTTCGGGCGGCCCGGTTTTCGGGCCGAGAGGCTCGGCCCGGTTTTCGGGCGGCCCGGTTTCATACCCGAATTTCGGGCCAAAACCGGACCGGGCAAATTGCCCAACACTAGCCCTGTTGCTGCGGGCCGTGAACCCGGCACCCTACCAATAGGCCACAGGGGCGACAGGGGATGGGGAAGCGGGAAGAGTCAAAAGGCGTGGGGCGAGCTCCCACTCCGCATCTCGTCCACTTTCTTTTTTCGTCCACTTTCGTTTATCGAAATTTTCCGAAATTTTTAGGGTCTGGATAAGAGGCTGATCCCAAGGTTGTGCAAAACTAATTGCTCGCTGTCGAAGTCTGATTCACAAAAATGATAAAATCAATGATTCAATCTCACTCTCAATCTCTCGCTCTCTCTCCGCAACAAAACTCCTCGACACTCCAGAAAGCCATTTATTGTAAGGAGAAGCGCCAAAAAAAGACAGTCGCCAAATGATCCATTGGTTTTGTGTGAAGTGAGGCTGGAGATGGGCTGGGTGGCCGATCGATCGATCGATGGTAGGGAGTTACTCGCCGGCCGACAGCTTCATCAGCGTCTCGCCGCACACCTGGAATGATGGGGTACGCTAGTAGGGATTGTTGAGGAAGAGGAAAGGGCAGGCTAGCAGAGATTGTTGAGGAAGAGGAGAGGGCAGGCTAGCAGAGATTGTTGAGGAAGATGAGAGGGCAGGCTAGCAGATATTGTTGAGGAATAGGAGAGGGCAGGCTAGCAGAGATTGTTTAGGAAGGGGAGAGGGCAGGTTGGCAGAGATTGTCGGGGAAAACCGACCTCAGCCTGGGGGCACGTCCCGTCGGCGGGGAACAGCTTGGCGGCGTCGGTGGCGTCGCCGGCCTGGATGAACTGGAAGACCATCTTGTCGCCGCGGGGCGGGCCTAAAAATTTTGTTTTCGCGGGTTTGGTAGGCTTGGGTAGGCTAGCAGAGGTTGTTTGGGAAACCCTCACCCTTGATACGGGTGATGACAAAGTCCTGCTTCTCGCCAATGTCGATGAAGCCGACCACCTTGGAGACGCTGTAGTTGGAGTTGTTGGAGGACTTGACCTGAAGGGAAGGTGGTATTGAAGGTCGATTTAAGCCTAAGGCGAAGCCCAAGCCCACCCACCTTGAAGGCGAGCTTCCGGTCGCACATGTTGATCATCTTGTGCTTGGAGACACCGCCGGCGGCAGTCGTACGACAGACGGGCGGGTCGAGCGACAGGGCCCCCGAGCACGACATGGCGAGACGAGAGAGAGAGGGTGGAGGTGGAGAAAGATAGAGAGCAGACACCGGGACGCCTTATTTTATACGAGGAAACACAGGGAAATTCCGGACGGATTCCGGTTGCGTAGTGCCTTAATGTCAGGGAATATGCAAATTTCTGATGAATTTGCGCGTCAGTGGGTGAGGCTTAGGCTTAGGCTTAGGCTTAGGATTGGCTTAGGCTTCGGCTTAGGATTGGCTTAGGCTTGGGCTTAGGCTTAGGCTTAGGCTTAGGCTTAGGCTTAGGCTTAGGCTTAGGATTGGCTTAGGCTTAGGCTTAGGATTGGCTTAGGCTTGGGCTTAGGCTTAGGCTTAGGCTTAGGCTTAGGCTTGGTTTAGGCTTAGGCTTAGGCTTGGGTTAGGCTTAGGCTTAGGCTTAGGCTTAGGTTAGGCTTAGGCTTAGGCTTAGGCTTAGGCTTAGACTTAGGCTTAGGCTTAGGCTTAGGCTTAGGCTTAGGCTTAGGGGTAGTCTGAGGCTAGCAGAGATCATTTAGGAAGCTTTTCTGCTCGGGTAGGCTAGCAGCCACAAGTTGAGAGCTCTCTGTTGAGAGCCCTTTGGAAGGCCCCAAGGGCCTGGCAAGCTAGAAAAGACCATTTCCGAAACCGCAAAGGTCTAGGCAGGCTAGCAGAGATCCTCGAGGATGCATTTTACCCCCCAAAATCATGCAAATCTCTTTATTGATGTGAATTTCAATTTTGTCAGAGAATCAGAGCAGTGGTGCGGAATCTC